GGGAACGTGGCTGGTTTATTGTTTATCTTTTGTTTATGAGGCAGTATTCAAGTTTAATTACTACTCTAAATTAAACTCTAACTGGCATCAGGAGACATCCCTTTACAAGACTAAGTTTTAAAAAATCTAGAAATCACAACTCTGGGTTTTTCAAATAAGTTGATACATACAGGAAGAAATTACTCAAAATTAACAGCAATTATAGAAAGCTTTTAAGCATTTATGGGCACCATTACATGCTCCTAGAGCATTTATTTATTAGAAGAGTTTAATTTTATTTCTAATGGTTACTACTCTAAAAAGTCCTAAGAAAATCAACAGAAATTATTTGAATGTTTGCTGATGATTAAAGGATGGTACTTTTTTTAATTGGGGGAGGAAAAATGCAATATAAATATTCCATATACAACAGCATCTTCTATGGCAATGTTCAATTATCAATAATAGTCTCAGAGAATTTTTTGATACAATTAGGAGGACAGGAAGAAAATGAAATGTCATTGAATTTATCATAACAGTAAGTGACCAGTTTCGGATGAACTTAGCTCTAGGAAAAATAAAAGTTAAAAGCAACTAGCAAAAGATTATGCCAGATGGCATCTGTCATATTGTATTTAGGGTTATTTTAAAGAGATTGCCGCCACTATGAAAACATTCCATTGACAGAGTTTTCTTAGACTGAATAAGAAATCCCAGTAGTACATATTCAGGACCTACACTAAGTGGGTTTGAGGTTTTCTGCCCCTCTTTTAAACACATAACTGGATTTTTTTTTGGGGGGGGGGAGTACTATTTTATAACTATAACATGCATTATAAACACAAAAGCATAATAACATTTTAGACACTTGCTTACCTATAAATGAATATTCACTACTAAGGAGATATTTGTAGATTTCAACACTGTGATTGCTAATGAACTGTATAATAAATAAATAAATATCTAGCTATGGAATTCTAGCCTCGTTGCCTGGATGATAGATGGGGACATCAATGGGCTTGGTAGGTGGCAGAGTTGAGGGCAACTATGCAGGTTTGTACAGCCTTGTGTCCTCAAAGATTAGAGATACATAGATGCTAGAATGCTAATGCATTTAGGTTAAACTAGGTCTGGCAACAGTATAGTTAACGTGCGTGTAGTGTGCAGTGTGAGCTCAGCAGTTACTGGGCCAACTGTCTCGGTATTTCTGGGAATCCTGCCTATTCACAGTGCAGGGATTGTTCAATTGCTGCAAAATGTACAAAATGAATTTTACAAAAATGAATTGTAAGGAAGGCCCCATTACAACGATTTTACAGCAAAGATGTCAACATCAATTTTTCTTTCATGCATAGCTAATGATTAAAACAGCATATTCCATTTGCCTAAGACAATTTATTTCATATTGGCACATCAAAATATTGAAATACGAAGTTATCTTTACTCTACCCTTTTTATTCATTGCTGCTGAACCCATACCATTGTTCAAACCAGGAAAAATAAAACAAACTTGGCACGAAATACTTAAAACAAAGGCTCATCAATATTCTCCAATTTGTCAACATCTCAATTACAGCACTGGAAAAAAATGTAAATTTCATGTGCTCTAAACACTGAGGGGTCTATTCTCTTGCCAATTCACATGCGTAACTCCCATCAGCGTTAATGGGAGTTACACAAACCCATCAATAATAATAATACTTTGTACATATATTGTGCCTTTCATCTAAGGCTCTCAAAGTGCTCTAGGAAAAGGGGGCTGTTTCCTAGGCTTTACTCTGGCAAAATACACGATGAAATACAAAGCAGCTTTTGACTCAGCAGGTACAGAATTAGGGACCTCCAGCCTTATTAGCAAGCCCTGTTTTGCTGATAGGAAGCCACACACAAGAGGGACAGTTATTTCCCCAGAGTCCCAAGTTTGCACCCAAATTCTATCCTTGAAAAACCAGATTTCCTTCCTCATTCTAAAGTGACTAACAAGACAAACTCCCTCCCTTTGGCTGCTTTTAGCAAGAGAAATCAGAGTGAATGAAAAGTCTGGTTCATATTTATATAGTTTACTGCTAAGCATGTGCTGTTTGAAAGATACAGCAAAGTCAGGTTTTACATTTTACCAAGTTTATTTCTTATGATATTTTAAAAATTTGATTTTTTTTTTTCTTTTCGATCTGTTGCACAAACACTAAGGAGGAAAAGATGAACTTTCACCTGGATAACTGTAGCTCTTTTACTATCAGGTCATAAAATTAGGTATTTTTAGGTTCCAAAGTAAAGATTTGTATACATTATTACAGTAAAAAAATTCACAAAAACTATAAAGCAACATAAATGCACGTATTGTTTTATAGCATATGGCTATTAAAGTTTAATTTAAAATGTGTATGAAAACACTGTATTTGGTACAAATCATCCCTATTTTTTCTGTTTATAATAATTTGTTTTGAAACTGAATCATTTTACAGTTTTCCATATGCCTATTGTGCTAATAAATTCTGAATAAGCAAGAAAACTCTTTTCTAAACTACAAATTTGGTTTTCAATGAAATATTATAATATATTTAATACTAAGAACATAAATTTCCTTCCCAGGTTTTCCATTATACATCAACCCTAAGATTTAACCTAGGATAAGCATATGTGATTTCAGTCAATATCTCTGTTGACTTTGCCCTGCAGCAGATAATTAATCTTTTCCACTGAAAGCTACTGTGGACAGTTCAGTGGGACAAAATATCAAAATACCTTGAAAACATGTTTAAAAGACTAATATCGGCATGAGTAGGGCAAAATATGCTGAAGTGTGGCCTTGAAAATTTGGAGTCTGCTGTAAAAAAGCAGAATAGCCTTACACGTATTTTTTAACTACTGATGCGGTAAGCCTGGTAGGAAATTCTCTGTGCCCAAACATTGTCCATTTTATAGGAATCATAACTTTTTTTTTCTCTCAAGCTTTAATACACCAAAGTGACTGACTTCCTAGTACTCATACTCAAGCTACCATGTCCATTATTTAATCCCATAAAGATATGATTAAAGGAAGAAAATCCTACAGGGATCACATCCTTCAACATCGGGTAAGTGGGTGCAGCTATCCACAGCACAGAGGTTTGTGTGCATTGTTTCTGCCCAGCGTATCAGTCTCAGAGCTCTTCTCTTTCCTCACCAAAAACCAACAAATGAAACAAAAACCAAAATGATAAAAGTCCATGCTTTGCCCATTCCCACAACTATTCCCTGCTCCCCACCCTGGGGTCTTCTCTCTCCCCCCTTCTCTTCTCTCTGGCCCTTTCTTGCTGTCTCCCTTGCCATAACTCAACTAACCCAACAGAACCAGTCAGTTTTAAATTTCAGTTGGGACCTTGGTGACCTGTTAATGAATCTACAGAGAGGAGAAAAACTCACAGTGTTGAGTTATGCCTGGTGTTGCTAGCTGACTTGGAGTCAGAAATGCTTGAAGCGTTAACATAATTGCAAGAATGTGAAAAATGAAGCGCTGGGCTCCTGAGCAAAGTGAAAGGTCAAAGCGAGCCTCACACACAAGAAGTCTCTAGAAGATAGCCTCATTAGACCATTAAGTCTGCATCTCTTTTCCCCTCTTTTGTACAATGTTTAGTTTTGTTTTTATTAACAGAAACATTTTGTCCTCTGCGTTGCTGCAATTTGGGGCGGTGGGGAGGATGGTGTCACAGAAAGCTCTCCAGATTTAACCACACGAGAAGTCCATCCCACGACATATACCCACAATTAAGTCATTGCACTGTAGATCCATTGAATCTACGTACATGCTACCTTCAAAATGCCTTATAGATTAGTTTTCTTTTATATGCAATCTAATTGGTCTAGTAAAAACAGTATACAAAACCTAATTAGATAGAATTGACAAGTTCTTCTACTGATTCACCATCTGACAGTATTTACCTCTGTGTCAGATGCAACTTGCTTAAACCTAGATTCTTATTTGGACCCATTCACAAGTGAATGGCATCCTAGAAAGGTCACTTTTCTGGACTCATCTAGAACTCCAGGAATCCAAAATCCCTGGCCAGAAACTTGGAGGAGGGAAAGCACCCACCCTCCATCAACCATCCCCTTTTAAATGGCATCTGTAACTACAGCTCAAGCTGTTAAACTGTCCTCTACTTGGAAGACTGTCTAATGCTTAAATATTGTGGCCATAAACACAGTCATAATAGAGATAAAATAGACCTAGGAGATCAGACACCATCTAATGTAAAATATTAAAAAGTAAAATCTATACACATTGCTGGCCCACATTCAATAATGCACCTTCCTTTAAGTTATCATTTTAGCCGTAGAAGAGTCATCCCTACCAATATTTAATTGCTCTCTGTACAAAAGGTGAGTTTTAAATGGTAAAATTTATTCTAAATTGCATTAGGCTTCCCTGTCATCTGCAGTTGACATCCCCCTTGTCCTCTGATTATTCTAATTTTTAGGATTTGTGACAAAAGTCACCATGTCAGCTGAATGGAAATGGGGACAAATAATCTTCTAAGAATTTCAAAATCCATTTTTCCAAGATAAAATTCCATATAAAATTCCCGCAGTATTTCCAGAGGTAATAAGAACAGATTTTTGCATTTTATGTGCTTTAGAGGCATAATTGCTTCATTATAGAAAACTTTACCAGTTGATATTACAAGCAAAATATCCTGTTTATAGTATAATTCAAACTACTGTATCACAGCAGTAAAGGAGCTCTGTCATTCCATTTACTTACACACAAAGTAAAGTGTAGATAACCAAATTTGTAAAAGAATTGGCAGAACTAATCAATTGTTATTATAATGCTACCTAAAGATTAGACAGCTCACTTTGATTTTTTTTTTCCAAAGTAAAGTTAAGAAGAGGAAATACTGTCTCCCTAAACATCAGCTGATTATACTCTCTAACCTGTCACTTTCCTGTTTACACGAAGGCAGATGTACTAATATCATAAAATACCAGAGTTATTTATTTGTGCCTACTTTGCACAAGGAAAATGCCTGAACTTTTACCTTGCTCACTGCTGTTGTCTCCGCTCTGGGAAGCATGGCCCCCACTCGAGGGCCCCGGGGTGCCTGCTGAGTGGGTTGAGGTTGCATCATCATGGTCTCTCCAAGATGAAGGGTTCTGATGTCAGGATGCCAAGGAATTTTTCCACAGTTACCATTTCAGCCGTAGATGAGGAACCAAAAGGAAAGGTGCAGAGAGAGACAAAAAATGTATGCATATTAGTATTTGCAGAACTAGGCATACGTACATACCATGTTACAGTGTGTTGTCTTTTCAGCAATAGGTGCAAAAAAAGAAGAAAAGATGTCCTGGAACTTGATGCGGTGATAGTTACATCGGTGTGTATATTTGTTAAAACTAATTTAAGTATTCACTTTAAATGGGTACATTTTATTATACACAAATTTAAACCTCAATCGTTAATGTTTGAAGTAAGAAAAAAAAGATTACCTAAAAATGTAAAAGTCATTTTTACTCTTGCTATCTGAAATGGGGCACGATCTTCCAAGATAAAGGTCCCAATGCTCTTGGTTACTAAATACTTCAGAAGATTAACATCTACAAAATTCAAAGACTCTTAAAAATCACAGGCTCATGAATGTATGGGACAGCCCTTCACATCAAATGCATTGCCCTAAAATAGCCTGAACAAACTCTTAAAGTTATCATCGACAGATGTAAATATATTAATCATTCCATCAATACCTAATAAATTATTGATTTGTGCTAAAACTTGTAGAAACAACAATTTAAAAAAACGAAACAAATATGAACTACTAGCTATCTAGTAAGCTAGACAGGACTTTCCCTTGAACTTCATGGAAGCTTTAAGATCACCGAGCACTGCTTTTTCCTGGAAGAACTACTTGTTTCAAAGAACATGCAAGAAAACTGAGAGTCAGAGCTCATGCTACTTTGCTAAGTATATTCTTCTCCTGTTCCTCCTCCCCTTTCCTGATCATTCCCAATACCCTGCTGTTGCTTAAAGGAAAACAGGAATTCTAATGTACAGGAAGGACTTTATCAGCACCACATGAAGGCAGGCAAGGGATGGAATTTCCTCTGGCAGAAACGGAGAGCAGGAGCAGCACATGAAACAGACCAGCCTTAAAGCCAGAGCTGTACACTTGTCACCTGTATGTGATAACTTCTACTAAGCCCACAGACCTACAAGCAAGTAAATTAATTGTTTGGGGGGCTGGGGAAAGGTGACAAATTTTTTTTTAAAAAATCACTCTCTCATAGTACACCACTGCTTGTTACTAGAATTGGTAAATAAAGATTCAGACAGATCCATATGTATAGCAACAACATGCAAACCTCTTGACCATCTGAAAGTAATCTTACTATTTTGCCATTATATATAGTTCATCAAGAAAAAACATCACTGTCATTTTTCTCAACATTGACTCTCCAATGTACATGTAGCTCACAACATGTTACCAAAATAAAATGAGAAGCCAAGGTAAGACGAAATAGGGAAATATTCTTACTTGGAACACAACAAAAACTTATTTTTTCCCCTACAGATCTGCTATAAACTGACTGTAAATTAATATTTGGATTTTGATAGATGATGAAATAACCCAGATCTCTATGGATTAATAACATCTATATCAAATAATGCTACCAGCACTGCCATCAGGCAAGCAATTGATTCTAAGTGAAAACCCTCAGCAGAAATTTCGTGACTATAAATACAGCACTGGCATAGATCTCTAAAATAAAGATATGCTTGAGAAAGCAGATTAGGGAATGAAATTAGGTAGAATAAAAACCAAGGTTCTCTGCTGCCTGTCTTAAGACAAAGTCATGCCTCTGAACTCTCTTTTTATCTAAGTTAGAAACCACTCCAATAGTTTCAAGCTAAAGGCAAACAGAATACAGGGGCTCTTCAAGCTTTGCAGTCTCTTGGTGTCAGCTGTTTGCTGGATGGTAATCAGATAAAAAGCTAGAACTACAGGAAAAAAAAGAAACAATAGCATGGCATGAGTTTAGTCCTGCAACAACACAGGATAGAGCCTTCTTTCAGAAAACACAAAAACTGCAACACATTCACCTAAGCTAAACTTTTCAATATACACAGCAAGTGATGTCGATTTTATGCACTGCAGGCTTTTTATTAAGCTGGCTGCTATACAAGCTCCTTACCCCTCAGGAAAATTATAATAATTAACCACTAACACCTCAACTATGTTTTAAGGCAAATGTCATCCAAGAGCTATTACACAATAGTTCAAATGGGGCTGGAGCCAGTCTTTCCGTTTAGGTACTGTAGTGGTTTGAAGGGATCACTCAGAAGGACTTCCTGCAACTGCAAACACTAGTTTGTCTCTATCTGTCAAACTTGTGCTGTATTTTAAAAGTCAGGACTCATTAATTTATAATTTAGTGTATTTTTCCCAATAGTTTTCTGGAGGAGTTTTCTAAAGTAAAGGGGTGAAATAGAAGCCACAGAAGCAAATATTACTTTAAGAGCACCCTGGTTCCTCCAAATAAGTTGGGTCTTTGGTTTTCAACTCAGTCTCCAAATTTACTCAAGTTCACTATCTAACCTATCATTCCCTCACCTCTTGCCTGTTTTCTCCCTCACCCCTCAAAAATCCTCTCCTAAAAAAGTACTGTAAGATATTTATGTCCGTAGAGTGTCTCAGTCATTATGGTCTAGTTTGAGAGAATGACACAAACTAAGCATTATCAAATGATATTTACCTAATTTTAAAGAAGGAAGAACAAATCCCTGTGTGGTTTCAGGCTGAGAAGTTACCCCAAAGTTGTCCGTATTCAGCCACACATGATGATGTGATCATATACAAAGACAAATATTGATATTCTAGTCAATAAAAAATAGGTCCTCCTTAGTCATAAAAAAAATAATAACTTACATGGGCAGACAAAACATAACCTATTACCCACAACACTGTTTTTCTTCTTAGATTGAAATATTTGTATCACAACTCCTTTCTTCTTTTTTCCCTCCTAGTAGCTTCCAAGTTTACATCCTTCAAGAATAGCTACCTGGATTTCTGCCAAATTATATACAGAAGTTTAGTGAATCCTGAAACCAAAGTGGCATACAAAAGCATGTAAAAATGTATGACATGTAAGAAAAAAATTTTTTTTAAATAGAGAAATGTTCTGTGTGCACGTGTGTGCGTGAGGACTCAGGTATATGCATTCCACAATATATATGCTGTTTTCCAGCCAAAAGTATGATGAAGACACCCAAGGGCAAGGAATGAACATGTTTCTATTCCCAGTGGCTTTAATAATTGGGAGTCAAATACAGTACTCTTCTTGCTTTTACGTAATTACATTAAAGAGCAGTGTTACCAGGAGAAAAGCAGTGAATACTGAGTGGGGCACAATAGACGGAGATGGAAAATAGATACAAGAAGCTAGGTCTCCAGGGGCAGTATTTTCTATTTGCTGGACTACAGACTCACAGCTGATAATGCAAGTTGTAATTAATATAAAAGCAGGAGACAATATGGGCAGAGCTTGTAGTAGCGGGGCCACAGGAGAGCGCTCTGCTGCTCCCCTCTGTTTCTCATTACACACAGCTCTCCCTAGAAAACCCCGTTCTGCCAGTGTTTTCTCCCTTGAAAGTTAAAAAAAAAAAGATTGATTTAGCACTATCACTGAATTTTGCTAAATCTAGAAAAGAGCATAGAGAGGACAGGAGTCTCTGGGCATAAGAAGCAAATCATATCTTTGCACCTCTTTTGTTGAGGGTGAAGATATGGTGGAATTGTAACAATTTAAACCATTATGGCATGAAGGTCAAGAATTCGAACCCCAGGACCTGCGAGCCGAGCCCCCCCAAAAGAAAACATTATGGCATTTCTGTGAGGGACCTGCCTATAGGATAATACTTAATAAATCTTGGTGAAGTGGTGGTATTTCCCTGGTTAGATAAGTCCACACAGCATATTATTCTTCCATGAGGTCAATGAGGTAAAACTTGTAAGCATTTCTAAATAAATACAAAACAGAGTAGGGAAGTAAAATATATTAGGCTTTAAGGAGAAGAAAAAAAATAAAAAAGAAGCCATACCACATACATGTTCTATCTAAAATAATCTGAAACTGATTTTAGACCCTAAATGAAAAGATGATTTAATGGATGTGGTGTAGGAGAGAAAATATTAGATTGGAATTAAGACTCTAGGGTGCCACCTCTAACTGATCATGTGACCTTAATCAAGTGATGCACTTCATTTCTCTGGGACTCATTTCCTTTATCTTTTTAATATTAAGAAGCCAGACAAAATAATCTTTAAGGTCACTTCTACTTCTTATTTCTATTACTATTATTTTAGCCAGTCAAATTTAGCAGGCGGGGATTGTATACCAACTTTATTGACACCAGTGTTAATAAGTGCTGATAACCCACTACCATCAGACCAGTACTATTAAAAAATACTTTCGAAATAGGCATTAGATTTTCTAGAACCTACATAACTACATAATATCAAGGGAAAAATTATATATGAACTTGGAAAATACAATAATGTAATTCAGGGTATGTGCTCACATGTAGAAAGTAATAATAGACATATATAATGATATTTTAATCAGCAAATGAAGCATGTAAAACAACTTTGACTTAATATATTTAAATAACATAGGGATGATACACTTGTATCAATACACATAATTAATATTAAGTTACTTATTTCCTATGACTTTATGATGTTTTAACTCCTAATTAACATAATGCAAAAATTATTTTTTTAATAAGATAAGAACTTCAACCCTAGGGTATTCAAGTCTACAAAAGTTAAAAATATTAATTGTATGGTTTGAACAAATGTCGGAATTTCAACTTCATTATTCTGAAGTTGGCATTAGAACTTAGGAGACCTATGTGTCCTTTCGGAACCTGGGACTCAATCTTTAAGAATGTAAATAGAGCTCAGGTCTTTCCCTCATTTCCCACTTCCCTCCCTCTAATAAGCTTTGGGAATTAATATGTGAGTTAACTCATATGAGTGGCAAATGATTTCTTCATTTAATGAAGCAACTTTTAGAGAAGACAGAAATGTCATGTGTTGTTGGTGTAAGGCCACATTATAAAATGCTATGGGTAATGGGTTATATTTTGTCTGTCAGCATTGGGATATTTCACAGTACACTCGGTATGAAAAAAAAAAAAAAAAAGGAAAGAAAGAAAATGAATTCAAAAAATACCAAATTTTCTTATCTGACAGTGAATATCTATGTGGTTGTCAAGTGCACATTTGTTTAATTTCATCTTATCATAGTTATGCTGACAACATATTCCAACTACACAACCTAGATGATTTAAATAGTATAATTATTCTCTATGGGAAATTAACGGGAAAACTATCAACCACCAAAAAGTACGCAGCAGCAGCAACAACAACGCAACCCTGCCCGCAGACCTGTCTCCTTGAGTTGGTAGACAGAGCTCAGAGGTAGAACTTTACCAGAATGGGTCCCCAGAGGCTTTGGATAACACACCACAAAATCTAATCTTACACTAGAACACAAGAAACTATCAGATAAAATAAATCACTCATATTATTAATATTATTATCAAATCTCATTAATTCCCCCTTGATCTTCTATAGACCAACCACTTATACCTATCCCTCTCCTCACTGTCACTCCCTTCTAATTTTTCAGGTAGTGATAGAATTTATCCATAGGCCCTTGCCTATATTCTGTCGGGAACAAGGTTCTGGAGATTCTCCCCTCGGACTTACATAGCCCATTTTTAAAAACCGTGTAGACACAAGTAAACTAGGCATATTCAGAGATGCAAAGGAAAACATCAGCATATCTTCATTTAAATTACACCTTTCAACATAGAAATTAAAATAATTTTTCTTTTATTAGTGATATTATCAGAGCCAGTCAATTTTAAGATACCTGCTATTAACTAACAGTTAACAGACATAATTATATTTTTTTCCTTTACTTAATTATTTCAAAGATAATAAAATGTAGCTTTCTATGACCATTAACTAGAAATAACAAAATTTTAGAACTGTATGCACTTCAAGCAAGAACTCAGAGAATATATTTCAAACAAATATATTTCATTTATCTAAACTTAATCTAAAGATATGTAATATCTTTATATGTAAATACAAAATCTCGTACATTCGTCTGTACTAGATCTAAAGACTTGATCTAAAATTATATAAAATAGATAATGTAGATATCACTTATTATTCAGAAAGAGTACAGACTTGAAAAAAGCATGATTACTTCACAACAGTTTTTGAGTTGAGACTTTTTTATAAAAAAAAATTGCTTTCTTGACATGTTTATTTTAAACATGATAAATTTGAATGTCTGGGAAACTTAATATGAACTGCAGCTGGAAAACAGAGTTTTATTTCCTTTGACTATCATATATTTTTTTCCCTAATATTCCAAAGAATACTGTAATAGCTATTTTCTCCCTATAACTATTATTCCTGTGTTATAGTAAGAGTATAAGACACAATATGTTATAATATTCAAAATATAAGCATTCATTATGAATTTACTAACCACAACAAAATAGTAGCCAATGTTGCACATTTTATTTTCTATTTGATTCCAGACTTTCTCTTATCATTATGTTCATAATATTTAAGTGTTAATAATAAATGAACAAATTCAGGATCCTCACCGAATGTAAGGAATGGAAGGTCAGACTGTTATGGTTGCATTCTTTTAATGCATTTCTCTTACATCACATTATTTATATAACATTACAGAATGTGAAATTAGCATATTGTACTAAGTAACAGTATATAAAATTCATTCTTAAAAGTATTCCAATAATACTTGCTTTGAAGATATTTATATCCATTACTTTTATTCATTTATATTTTCCAATCCTTTAATAAGAAAACCGAAAGCTATATCGGTCCCCAATATTTGGCTCCTGTTGATTCTCTGCTTCCCACTACACAAAATTACACACTTATTCTGTCTTTTCTCCTTTTCCCTCTCTCTCCTTTCCCACTCCTTCCTTAAACACATCCCATGCGCACGCACGCGCACGCACGCACACACACACACACACAATGTTGCTTGATACCACTTAATAAGGATAGAGGTGTATGTGTTTTGGGGGTGTCAAACATCTGTCACAAACTGTCACCTCCATGAGAGAAACCTTGGCACACAGCAAATTAAACTACACTTCTTTTTTAGCTGTCATTATTCATAGCCAATAAGTTGAAATGCTCTCAGCATTTCATGTGCAAATAAAACCATGAGGAAGCTCAGTAGATCAGAATAGTGGGCCAACAGATAAAACAGAGAAAACAACAAGCTGTCTGGGTCCTTCTGAAGTGGCTCATCATCACCCCTGCACCAGCGTTCACCAAATGAGAACCAGCCTGGGGCAATGTATTAAATATGCATATCAAAGCAAATGAAAAAATAAACCTGAAGATTCAAATTGGACACATTTACATTCTGAAAATGTCCTATGCAAACCACTTTTCAGGTAGTGGTTCTGTGGTGTTTTCACATTTTTGTGGCTGGGGGGTGAGAGACAGCAAGTTTGCAGAAGAGGCTGAGAAGCATAAGAGGATTTGCTTAGTAGGGGGAGGCCTGGAAATGAATACAATCAATTCACCTACGACACAGAAGTCTCAAAAATGCTGAAAACTCTCCAAGGTTTTCTCTTGCATTGGGCATAAAATACAAATCTGTGGCAAACCTCTCCATTTTCCTCTTGGTGTGCTGGTGGAACAAATTATTGCTTCCTTTCAAAACAAATAGCAGGGGGCTAAAGTAAAAATGTTATAGTTCAGATCTCTAGGAAATAAAAGACTTTAAATTATGATGCCCAATGAGGTGGCAAGCCCTCATGGGTTCAAAATAAATCAGTTGTCATATTTACTTGATTGGGGGCCTGAGAGGGGAGGAACAAATGTTACAGTTGACTCTTTATCCAAAGACGATGATTGTTAAATTATTAAAGCACTATCCTCTTAGGTACAACTTCCTTCTTGAGAGTATATTTAAAAATTATAATAATTCCATAAATTGGCATTGTCTATCAGCCAATACTCCAGGCAGCCTAGTTTATCCTACCTCTTCTAAGTAAACATCAGCATGCTCTAGCTCTGTACATCCACTGGAAAAACAATTGCCAAGAAACTGTTCTAGAAAACCGAGTAGTCAGGACCCCTAGAAATCTCACGAGACGAACTATTGGCTGCAGAGAACCATGAACCTCTCATTCTACAAGCCATGTAAATAGATCCTTCTCCATTCCCCCAATAATGTAAGTACATATGAATTTCCAAATAGGAAGCAATAAAAACAAACAAATAAAAAACAACAAAAATAAATATTTCTGAGGTAGTGACATGCCTCATAGACCACAACCACACACCGTAGAACCGTGAATCAGCAAATAAACTTTCTATAGCTGCTTCTGCATCCTTTTGATTTCATTTAAAACACTCAATATACAAAAGAGCTCCCCAAAGTTTCCCCTACTGTGATGGAAAAGGTAAGGGTAAAGGTAGGTGCAGAAGCTTTCAACACTATAATATTTACTCTGTCTCAGAACTGGACTCCCAGACTGTGGTTTTCTTTCTTTTCTTTTCTTTTTTTTCTTTCTAACTTTTGTTCTTAGGCTGGCTTCCCATACAGTGTGAAGGTTAATTATTAAAATCTATGAGTGCATATTTTCAAAACTTTTGCTGTGGGGAGAGGAGAACCTCACAGGAGGTTTATTCTAAAGGCATCTCAATTCATTCCTTTTAATACCCAGGAATTGGGGGGGAGGGGGGTACAAAATGCCTTCAAGCCTCACTCAATACCTGTTTAACTCACACAGGATGTTACATTAATATTTCAGCCACAAAGTTATCAGATTGCAGCCTGTATCATTTAGGTTTTGAGTTCAACTGAAGTAATCTATAGACACCCGTCCCCCACCCCCAAGTTTGAGTTCCTATAAATAAACTGCCGTTCACACCCACTCTTTAACCTCACCACTCTTGCCTTTCTTACCAGCTGCAATCTTTCTCTTTGCTTCTTTTTCAAATTTTCAGTCTCACTACATACGCTTTTTTTTTTTTTGAGGCATCAGACTCACTAGATCAGATCCAAAATAGAATTAAATTCAGAGAGAATAGAAAGAAATCTCCTTTCCTGCCCTGACATACACAGTCATTCCTTACTATACTCTGCGTCTTCATTCACCAACTGTTAAAGTGTTAAAATTCAACCACTAACCTATGGTTACTCAATCATAATTCCCTTCAGCTTTCTGTAATACATTGTTAATAATTGGTTCATCAAGGTTACTGTCTTTTATTATGAAGATGCTTCGGGCACTTGGCAATAAGTCCATATTGTGACAATAAGTTTCTATAGAGCAAAAGCCCTGAGAATTGTAATGTGTTCATTCACTCCTTTTATTTCTAATGCAGTGCAAGATTGCCAATAATTCTCAGGACTGTCATCCCCCTGAGAGACTGGAAAATCAGTCTTCGCTCCCCAGTTCTCTCTTTCTTTCAGTCTTCTCTCTCTCGCTCTAGTCCTGTCCAGCTAACTGTCTTGCCTCTTTCTATCCCTGATGTACTGCTTACACAGAGTTGAGAAAGCAGAAAAGACAGCAGTCACCACACCAAACAGAATTTGCTAATACCCAAGTCACCAAATCCAGGAAACTTTACACAAATCTCTCCACCAACTCCCTGGTTTTTTTGTTTTGTTTTGTTTTGTTTTTTTTGTTTTGGCTCTCAACAAGAAAGGGGTATGAAGATGAAGGTTATGACAGAGGTAGTGAGAAAGTGAAAAAAAGACCCTAAAACAAACTAAATCATTTATAAAGAAAACTAAGTCCATGGAGCCAGATGCTACAACAAGTTAAAAAAAAAAATGCTTTGTCCAGTGGCCTTAAAAGAATGCCGAAGCCTCGCATACTTACATGGTCAGCGAGATTTGTAGAGGAGCCTGAAAGTTCTTCGTGATCTGACTTGGAACTGCCATCTCTTTCATCAATGACAAGGTCAATGGGCATTTTTCCCTTCAAACAGCTAATGTACCGGTGGCAGAAGTTATCACACAGTTCATGGACCTAGAAGGAGGTCATGGTGGAGGGTTCAGCTCATGTTGTTGTTGCGTTTCATTTTTAGAGAGGAAAAATATCAGGTTGCAAGGTTACATTTGGAAAGAACAACAGTGTGATGTCTTCCAAACTAACTCTAATTAAGGGGTGTAATAGTTGAAGACGAGGAAACAATAGAGCAATTGTTGCAGCAGATATTATTCTCCAGAGACTTCCCTGAGCAACAAGTTACAATAGAGAGAGAGAAAGAAATAGGACTGGAAATAACTGGTTTTAGACTGGAAGTCCAGAAAGGAAAATCTGATTTGATAATAATACCCAAACATTAGAACACTGAAACTGGACACAGCATTAACATTTGTGATTCAATAAACTGGGAGTTTTGTATGCTTCCAGGGGAAGGTGATTAAGTTGCAGGGCAATGTAAAGACAACTCAGTGAGGATGTGAATCTCTCTGCCTGTACCTAATGCAAACTATGGGCCGAGAGTTAGCTGACTAATAGAGATGCAGCCAGGCTGAGTGTCCAGTAACACAAATGGCTTGCAGCATTTCAAAATAATCCTGAATGCCTGGGGAAAGAAAGGCGAGGGGAGCGTGCGGGGAGGGGGGTGTGTACTTTAAAAGGCAGGGCTGCCCTGATTCACCCACGCTCTGAGCTCCTGGGTGGAAGAGCAATTTCAAGGCAAGACATGGTAACATGCTCAAAATCTCCAGGTGCTCAATCTCCCATACTGGAAGTGTGTTAAAAAAAAAAAAAAAAATCCCAACCCAACTAGGAGAGGAAAGTGGCTAAATCAAACGGGGAGTGTTATTTCCTGCTTACCTTTTCTAACTCCAAAAGATGAAACCTTAGTACTTGTATTGCTTGTATCATCTGAAAGAAAAGTTTAGAGTATGGGCTTAAGGCTCTGTGACTACGAAACCCTGAATGGGGGTTGGTGAGGGAATTGGGTTCGGAAGACGAAACGGGCAGGTGGCCAGGCAAAACCCACACATCAAGAAATAGTCAGAAAAACCAAGTGATTACTGATCATCTCTGCTTCATTGGCCACGGGGTTGGAATCTAACTAAACCAAAGCCGAAGCATTAATATCTTTTCCCCTGATGTTCACTGTACTATTTGTAAGGACTGCTTTTCTATGGACAGGCCTTCTTTCTCCGCCTGAGTCTTCTTTAACCGTCCCCTCCCTCGACCTCAGGCCGAAAAAAAAAAAAAAAAAGTCTCTTCTTTGGATAGAAAAAGCTTTTTAGAACAGCAAACCCAGCAAAATCCGTCCTCACTAAAGAAGGAAATACTCAAGATGAATGGTGAGGCAGAGCCTTTGAAAGCGGATTTAAGTACTTTTAATATTGAAATCGTGCAAATTAGCAAAAGAATCGCACCTAAAAGTGGCCTGCGCTGGCCTGCCCCTCACCCCCCCCCCC